CATTCTTCGTATAGAAACGATATAACGGCGACTACCTTCGGGGGCCACATTCCTTGAGATGTTCTGACTTTTCTGACAAACGAAGGTGATCCGGCAGGAGAAGGCGACATCGTGTCTAACCCTGAACGATAGGTTTTCAGTTAAATCAATAAGGCACCTGTGTCGATAATTAAGCAAAAAAAGTCTTTAATTTAAAGAGAGGTGCGATTTGTTACGGTGGTTTTATATGATTGGTGAGATGACTCGCCTAAGAAAAAGGCGATGAATTCTGTGAGTAATTGAGCTGATTGGAGCTCGACCAATGTGCGTCTTCCTCTAGAGAGCTGATAGGAGAAAGCAGTGACTGATCGATGGACCTATCGTATTATAAAGGGTTAATCTCACTAGGCTTGCGTAGTTTGACGTCAGCAGCACGGCCCTTTCCTTCCTGAGCTGAACTGCAATAGGTTTTGGTTTCAGTAGAAGATGTAATTTTTCTGTGAGAAACGAAAAACACAATTATCAACACAGTAAATTCTTAGTCGTTTTGACTTAGATTTTTTTATGTTGAAATTAATGTTTACATAGAACATGTTGTATATTGTAAATTATAAAACAGTGGTTCTCAACTTTTTTGAATCCACAGAACCCTTGACAGCGTTCCTTACAAAAAACATTACTGCAATACCATTTCAATAATTCCAGACAGAGTATGTATGTTTACTGCAGCTATAAACCCACACACATACACGCAAAGCATGAGAAATTTCTCGAGCCAATTACTCGGACTCACACGCACACATAACGAGAAGTCGTGCTCTCTCAAATAATAAAAGTTTACCTGACTCAAGTACCCGTTTGTACCTAGTCTCACCCACTAATTTAAAACAATGCAGTGACTTGTTGTTATGTTGTGTCATTATGAAACCCGCTATGCTAATGAATAAATCTGATGTAGTTGGATTGGTATTATGTGACTAGTTCGTATTTAAGCATTAAAATATGTGGAACTCTTGCATTCCGCGGAACCCCTGGATGTCTGTCGAGGATTGTTTGTTTGTAATTAAGCCCAAATCTACACAATGGGCTATCTGTGCTATACCCACCACGTGTATCGAAACCCGGATTCTAGCGTTGTAAGTCCGCAGACATACCGCTGTGCCACTGGGGGCGTCTGTCGAGGAACCCCTGTTGAGAAGCACTAACACAGAACAACATAATGTGTGTTGGTGTACAAATGCTTCAAGTAACATGTTCATTATCTTGCTAAAATACTGTAATACAGTTTTGCACAAGTCAAAGTTTAATATCAATATACCTTAATTAGTGTAATGTTGTCGATCAGTTTACAAACACAAGTTTCCATAAGAATTCCGTTATACATACATTTATATATTTAGGCGTTTGCTTCTTACCTTTCAAAGAAATACTTGTATATTTCAGTTTATTCTATAAGTTCCCCAATACTTACTGTCTGACTACTCCATTGAAAAGTCAATTATTTCACACTGTAACCTGTGACATGTCTTTTTGTTTTTTTAATAATAACATAAAACATTGATATTTCTGTTAACTGGTAGATTCTAGCTCTTGACAGTAGTACATATTGAGGTCCCTTGGTCAAAAAATTTAAAAAAGTTATATTTAGTTAGAAAAATACAAATCTCAATTACTTTTGTGTATTTGTTTCTTTTGTGTCAAAACTACTAAGGCTATCTTCCGGTATCCCTAATTTTGAACTGCCGACCACAAAAAAGGCAACAGGTTGGCAGCACCCAACGCCAACTCTTTGGCTATCCTTTACTAAAGAATAGTGGGATTGACATCACATTATAGCGCTCCTACTTCTGAGAGGGCGAGCATGCCTGGTGTCGGGTTTCGATCCCGCGACCAGCAACTTGCAAGTTGAGCGTCCTAACCGCCACAAATCACATGACCTAATGGTTAAATCAGAATTCGCGAAACTGTGGTTCAGGAGCCGCATGTGATTCTTACGTTGTTGTAGCTCACAATACCCTTAAATTGTAATAAAAATAATAATTTATACCCTGAAATAACAAACAAGTAATACTAGAATAATTAATTAAAATCAAGTTAACAAGTTTTTCTTTTTTCTTACTTAATAGTTCCAATTTAATATTGGGATGGCCAGATGGTTAGGTCGCTCGACTAGCAATTTGCAAGTCACGGGATCGAAACATGTCTCTGAAAATATCCGTCCTTTCAACTGTGGGGGGTATATCCCACTATTCGTTGTTAAAAAGTAGCCCAAGACTTAGCGTCGTTGACTAGCTACTTTCTCTCTTGTCTATTACTTCGAAATTAAGGACGGTAACGAAGATAACCTTTGGGTAGTTTGAGTTTGCGCGAAAATTCAACATACAAACAAAATTGTGCTTTGTAAACAAGTATATCAATAATGCATTTCTATTACAGTAAAATAAATAGGCTACACAATGGACTATCTGTGTTCTGGCCACCACGGGTATCGAAACCCGGATTCTAGCGTTGCAGTAAAATAAAAGAACATGTACGACAAAGAAGTTTGATACACCAAGTTCAAAGAACCTTGGTAAAACCTTAGCGCTTTCCACAGGTGGATCTGTGTTTTTCAGTGCTAAATGAAGCGCAAGGGTTTTATCGGACTTCGTTGAATTGGACTTACCAATAATTGTTTTTGATTTCGTAAGTATAACGTGTAGGAAGAAGACGGTTTTAGTATAATGTGTAGGAAGAAGACGATTTCAATAGCATATTTATTGTAAGAAACATATATAATAAATGTACTTTTAAGGCAGTACGTGTTTAAGAAATATGTTGTTGTTATTTTAGCGTAAAGCTACACAATGGTTTACATATGTTCTGTCCACATCGGATTATCGAGTTTTAGCATTGTAAGTCCTTAAAGTTACCGCTAACCCACCAGAGGATTTTAAAGAATATAGTATACGTAGGGAAAGGGACAAACTGGACAAAGGAATTTCTAGCATCAAGACTATCGTTATCTGAATCTTTTAGCCTAGTCATTCATTCATTCAAACCTATTTAAAAGAGCTAACCTGTTTTGTTATATAAAATAATTTTGCAATACACAGCATTTGAGAGAGAGAAGCAAACAGTGAGATAGATGGATTAGATGAGCTTTTTGACAAAATCAGTAAGAAAAAACACACAAAAGTAACTATGTCATTAAGATAGAACAGTGTTTTACGAATAAAAATAAAGTAAAAACGTAACTGCAAATTACAGTGTTACAAACCCAACAATGTTCACACACCGGAGCTGCCAACCATTTTCAATGTATGGACAGTTAGTAAAAAACCATCACTTTTTAACATTGTCCTAAAACTCATGAATTGGAAAATAATTACATTTAGTTATATCAGTAAAAAAATACTATGTCTATAGAAAAAAAGGCCACTACTTGTGCAAGTAAAAAAAATCTAAGATTGAAAACATGTTACATACATACAAACATGCACAAATAATTTGCTGTTTAAAACTTCAAAACATGCGTAATATGACAAAATGCATAGAATACGTTCTATCTCAATATATATATATATTTAATGAAGAAATCAAAAGACGCTCATAAAACTGTTGGTTTAGCAACACACGGAAGCAAACATTGCATGTCACGTCTTCAGATTTGCATCATAAAGCTTCTTTGTGTAAATAAATATAAATTAGCAATAACTGAGTATGACTAAGACACGATATTTATTGTCTGGTTTATTGCCTCCTGTACTCTGTGATACCGAAGTTAAGACTAAAGATAGTTGCTGGGCGTTACAGTACTTATATGTGGACTTCACGGTTAGAAATTGCATATATCATTTTATGTTTTAATTATGCAGCTGGTTATGCTGCTGTTGCTGCTTTATGCCCTATTTAGCGAAAGTCAGAGTATGTCAGTTAATAGTTGGGATACCCAGATGCAACCTTTTTGCTTGTTTTATTCGGTTATCTAGACAAATTTACATCCTTTGAACAAAAGGTTTTCTTGACAGGTGACATGATTTATCAAACAAGGTCAAGAATGGCTATCACTAACATCAAAAATGTAAATTGTAGCCATGATCGCCTCTGTGCCGCCCTATTTCAGCTTGTTATGTAGTGCCCATCCAAGCATGATTTATCAAACAAGATGAAGAATGGCTATCACTAACATCAAAGATGTAAATTGTAGACATGATCGCCTCTGTGCCGCCCTGTTTCAGCTTGTTATGTAGTGCCCATCCAAGCATGATTTATCAAACAAGATGAAGAATGGCTATCACATTCCCTGTTGGCCAGCTTTCCCATACTCTATGTCATGGGTAATAGTAACTAACCTTTTATTTTTCAAAACTGTTATATTCAATATGTATAATAAAAAAAGTCACATTTCAATGGCTGACTTTGGAGAATTTCAGCTGAAAGGTGAAACAAAGAATTGAAAATTATATACGAAGTTAAAACGGGATTTGATAAATTCGAAAAATAACATTTCCTCAAGTGGACTTGGCATTATTAGTTAGATATCAATTACTAATGAAGGGCCAAAACGAAGAATATGGTTATTAGATAAAATGTCTAATATTTTCCCAGTTTTAACGTCATCGCGTATAATTGTCAAACGAGTCTTCATTTTGATTGATATCAACCAATGAAAAATTGGTTAAATTTGTAACAGTCTAAAAATATGAAACAAACAGTATACTATGGATAATTGTAATAAACATAAGAAGTGATACGATGTTTCACTTAAAATTGGCTGTATATTAACATTTCATTGTAATTAGAAAATTTAAATTTGGCATTTCGAAGTCTCTTAAACAGTTTACTAATGACCATATGTAGGTTGTTATAATTTTCTGTACAAGTTGTAGCGCCCCCACTGGGACAGCAGTAAGTCTACGGATTTATAACGCTAAATTCAGCGGTTTGATTCCTCTCGGTGGACACAGCAGATAGCCCGATGTAGCTTTGCTTTAAGAAAAAGTTTTAGCAGGATTTTTTCACTCCATCTAGAAGTTTTACCAGGTTTCTATCATTTTGTATAGGGTTTCTTTCACTCTACCTAGAAGATTTAGGGGTTTTCTGCTTGGTGTGTTTCTTTCACTATGCCTAGAAGTTTTAGCGTAGGATTTTTCACTTCCATCT